GTCTTGGTTGTTACGTGAACACGAATCATTGCCAAAAATCATTCCCATGTTGATAGAGTCTCCCCTTCAACAATGGAAAATGCAAGTGGTAGGACACAATTATTCCCATCTTGTGTTGTTGCAATTAACAATGTGTGACGATACTTACCATACAAGAATGTTCCATCTACTTGAACAATAGGTTTGCAAAAGTTGAATGCTTCCTTACATTGATGAAAATACCAAAACAATCGCTCAAATACTCTAAATCTGTTGTCCTCCTAATGTCCAACAACAAATGGCTTCGTTTCAATCTTATAAATAGAACCTGGAACATGAAATTGCATGTACTCTAACCATCTTGGCAATGTAGCATATGATTCATTCCAGTCACCAAATATTCTTACAATCGCCTTTTGTTTTGCCTTCCAAGCTTTTTTGTATGAAATTTTATATCCAAATTGAGTTGTCATCCTTTCTTGAATTAGACTTATAGGCAATGATGGTTCAAGATTAACCATACCTACACAAAACAAAAATAAAATTTGGTAAGTATCTTTATATAGAAAATACATCACGAAATCAGAGATTATTCAAAACTTACCAATTATTCATGAAGAAATCAAATCTGAATCTAGTTTGGTATGGTCTTGAGATATTGTAGGGTTGAGACATGTATGCTTAGCCCCACACCTTGTTATTTTCCACTTCACTGAATTTTTTAGCAATGATGCTCTTATTCTCCATGGGCAACCATTGTTATGGTTTAAACACCTCATATGCAACTTTGTTGGTTTTGACTCAACAACAAAATAATTATGATGTGTTCTCATTGCATGTTGTTTTAAGGCATTTTTAACTTCATCTTTTGAGTTAAATAACAAACCCACATGTAACGAATCTCCAATAACCCATGAATTATCTTCACTAATTTCTTTTGCTTCAATTTCTTGGTCTGGGTGGTCCCAATTAATAGATTTATAGTGTGGACTTACATTCCAAAAAGGTATTTCACCTACAGCTACATTTAAACATACAATATTCAAGATTAAAATAAAATAAACAATTTAATTAATTTACTTTTTAAATCTTACCTCCAATATTTTCTTGTTGTAAATTTAAGTTTGAATCAAAATCACCATCAATGTCCGTATCTGACGAGGTGTTTAAAGGAATATGTCCTTCATCAATATCATCTGTCTCATCATCACTATTGACTTCATCATCTTCATCTTCATAACTGCATAAATCTCTACATCCTTCAAAATACAAACACTTATTCAATATATGTTGTTACTAAAAAAAATTAAAAAAAAAATTATAACAATATAATTTATACCTTCTGTAACATTTATATTGACCATTTCCATAAGGTTAGGTGGTGACATTGATAAGCTTAAGTCCAACATATTCGACCCACCTCTTGAACTTTCACCAAACGCAATATCCACATATAATTCAATAAACCTTGTAATACTTTGTTATTGATACGCACTAATCATACAATCAATATCTTCATCATCACATATATCCAATGCATTGTATTGTTTAGTACTTGAATCAACCATAAAACGAGAAATTATTCTAGATATAACATGATTATTACTAAGATTCAACTTGTCATGAATCTTTTTCTTTAAATTCATATAACTTATCCCTCTTCTTATCTTTATCATTTTTTTGTTACCTTCAAATGTCACACCTTCATTTCCAACAACAATTTTTCCATTCCAATATACAATAATAATAATCTCATTCATCCTGCATTTATAAAAAAAAAAACATATCAATAATTAATTACAATTATACTTATTTATATAAATAATATAAATAATTTATTTGTAACACACAAACATATTATTATTTTTCACATCATTTTTATATTATAAAAAATGTTATATCTTTACTACATATTCAACTTATATATAATAAAATATTCACAATAAATATAACATTATTTTTTTAATTAAACAAATTTATATTAAATATCTACTAAACTTTTATACTTTTTTTATAATTATCTAAAATATTAAATTTTAATTTTAATATACACAAAAATATATTTATTAATTATTCATAAATTTTAACTATTTCTATTTATAATAATTATAACTTTTTAATAACTAAAATATTAAATAAAGTTTTGAAATTTACTAACCTCAAAAATTGGCTTGCAAGAATCGCTTTCAAATAAGATATTCTTTTCAATTTCACGACCCACCTTTCAAATTTTTACGCTGATTTGGACCCGGATTTCAAACATTATATATAAGAAATTTTGGCTGGATAAAAGAGTGCAGCAAGGGTGGAGTGGCCGCAGGGTAAAAGGATTTCGTCTGGGAAGTAGGCGAAATAACTGCTTTTCGTCCTGACAGGAGGCGAAATCAGCCTATTTCGTCTTGTTTGTGGACGAATTTATAAGATTCAAACATGTGTTCAAATCTTATAATTTCATCTTGGATTAAGGCGAGTTTGTAGTATTAAGACACCTGTCCTTTGTTTCACCTCTAACAGATACGAATTGAGTGACACATGTCACTATATACCATATTTCGTCCCTCTTTTAGACGAAATTATTAAATTTAAAATATAAAAAAATATTTTCATCTGATTGGTATCGAAATACATGCTGACCTGGCCAAAAAACATTCCAGATAGGGAATAAGTTTTAATTTTGTTTTAATTTGATAATTATTTTTTAAAAAAGCTTTATTTTAATCATTAAGCTGGGATGCGAACAAATCAACAGTATAGATAATTAATGGACCACTTGATGACGATCAATTATGTATCTATAAAAGCACAAGTTTATAATAACATTATTTGATAGAGAAATGACATATATATATATATATATATATATATATATATATATATATATAAGCAAGTTGTATCTTTAATTGTAAAATTAATCTTAATTTTAACTTTAATTTTAATGTTTATTTTATTTACTTTTTCATACTTTTTCATACTATTCATTTATATATATTAATATGAAATTGTTATAATTACAATATTAAAAAAGAATACAAATATTAATTTATGGTATGATAATTAATTTTTAATACAGTCTACAAATATTTTATTAAATCAGTAATTAAAATAATTTATTATATACTACTTTAAATATACTATAAAATAATTTTTATTTGAATTTTTATGAAAAATTAATACAGTTCTTTAACTATTTTAAATATAATTTATATACAATTAGTGTATTATCATATCATAAAGCTAATTTCATAACTGTTTTAAAAAACCAAATATAAATTTGATGTGTTAGTAGCATGATTTTTTTTTATTAACAACCGATTAAAATATATAATAAGATACAACTTTTAAAGTGATTATAAGAGAATGATTTTCTTTAATACAATCATAATAATGTAAAAATATTTTATTAATAAAATTTATACCTTATTAGTTACAAATAAATTTTAAAAAATTAATTAACAATAGATTTTTATTTTAACAGTGATTTTTTATTATTAAACAATATAAATAAAAGTATTTTGATCAAGCCACTTTTATCTGGTATATATTTATAATGAGCTTATAATAAACTATTAGGGTGAGAATGAATTTGGCTTGTTAGATATGGACAAGTAAAAAAAAAAAAATTGGTACTGTAGTTTTTTAATTAGAGTTTTCGTTTTATTTTTACAATGTGTATTTTAATAATATTGATCTTTAATATTAGTGTTTTTTTTGTTCATTAATATTATTGTTTTTACTCTTAATGTTCATTTTTATTACATAAATTACTAAAATAAAAATTTAACTTTAATTAGATAACAGTATTGATAGTATTATATGAAGATTTATAAATCTTAATTATCTATGCTTTCAAAATTAAGAAATGTATACATTAATTTGGGAAGAGCTGTTGAATTTAAGTATTTGAAAACGCAGTGTCATTAATATTTTTGAACGAGAGCATTATTATGTATTTATATTTCAATAGTCATAGGCTAGAGATGGAGAGGATTTTGAAGTGGTTGCAAGTCTTTAATCGTTTGATTTTAAATAAAACATGTTTAAGTATATTTAATTTAAACTAAAATGTGTTTGAATATATAGTTTAATCAAACACATTTAATAAGCATTTAATAAAGGTTATCTCATAAATTTAATTATAAAATTTATTAAGATAAATTTAAAATAAATTTGAATCTAAAGAAATAATTTATTTTGTTGATTCATATTAATAATTTTATTAAAATATCTTAAAACAAAAATTAATGAGAATTATAAATTGTTTATATTTTAAAAAATATTAGCTCTTAGTTCTAAATTTAATTTAGAATCTTCATGCTCAAAGTTTTAAGCATAAATTATTTAATTTTTTAAAATTTATTAAAAAAATTTCATGCTATTTTATTAGTTGTTTAGTATGGTGCACCATGACTTAAAATAATATTTTATACTTTTTTTTAAATCGATGGTTGTAATTTTTTAATTATCTTAAAAAATAAATGATGAATATATATTTTATGATTATATATATTAAATGATGAAATAATTTAAAATATATATTTTTTTAATTTTCACGACATCATAAAAATTATTTTTGATTGTTTTATGTCACTACCATAATTTCTACAGTAGTTATTATTATTATTATTATTATTAATTTTGGTTTTAAGGATATTTTAACTTAAAAGTTACAAACATTACAAAGATATAGAACAACACAGAGAATGGAGAATCCTAATAATTTACAGGGCACTGATTTAAAATCAAAATAAACATATATTAATATATATTTTTTGTTTCTAAATTGCACATAACACTAACAAGTATTTATTTAATTCATATTTAACATGATTTTAGCACATTTTTATATTAATAATTAAAAATTGTATAAAATTCATTAAATTAGGTGAGTTTTATATATTCTAATAAAACTATTTTTTAAGCATTTAACATGACTGTAGCCTTAACTTAGGATTGAAACAATTTTACGCTTCTTCATTCACGTGCTCGATCGTATTAAAGTACCGATATCTTAATATCTTCCCACCACAATAACATTTGTCAAAAAAGTGTCCAACAGGGTCGCAATGTACGTTTTGGCTTGTAACGTAGAAAATGGAACGAGGAGGGACTCATAATTTATATTTGAAGGGGCAAATATAAGTGGGAAAGGCCGCTTTTTATCGGTTAGTTAGAGTTGTGTGTCCCTTGCTTTGGCCGTTTTAGTGAGTGTTTTAGAGGACATGGCGATCCATAATTCTTTTGCTCCTCTCAACTTTTCACAAACGCAACACCCGCGCGATCCAGAGAGAGGGAGAGAGAAACCCTAATGTTAGAATTAGAAGCGTAACACCTCCCTAAACTTTCTTCATTTTCCCTCCATCATTTTTTTCTCTCTTTCCAAAGTGCTTCCGTTTCCAATTTGATTTTCTAACCACCGCTTTCACGTTCTTTGCACAACACTATATGGCGAGTGAATCTGGCGCCAACGATTCTTCAACTCCGTCCTCGAGTTCCGCGGAATCTTACATTGGTTGTTTCATAAGCTTGATTTCTAAGTGCGAGATTCGCTACGAAGGCGTTCTCTATTTCCTTAACATTCAAGATTCCACCATTGGCTTGCAGAACGGTAAGTTCACCGCTACCTAACGTGCGTTTTTCTTAAACGTGCAACGCAACCGTTTTGCGATTTTCAGTGATGCTGCGTGCGGTGCTTTGTTTGAGTATTTTGAATGACTCTGGCTTTGATAGGATGAGAAATGTTTGATTGATGTCTAATGATGTGCGATGGTTTGGTTGGAGTAAGTTAATGGCTAATGATATTTGGATTATAAAAAAAATGAATAAATGATTTGAGCAATCGTGACTCTTCTGTTTGTTTGAAATACGATGTTTCACGAACCTATCCATGGATGAAGTACATTTTCTTGCTGAAAGTTTTAGGCAAGAGGAATATCGTTGAATTTGAGCGCGTTTGGGCGGATAGTGGAAATAGAACAAAATATAATACAGAATCTGCAGCTTCAAAATCCAGAGACTGAGCTTGCTGGTGATACTGTTTGGAATTTGAATAGGTTTTGCTTAAGTTATCAGTATTGGCTATGTGCCTGAAATGCTGATGATGGATAAAGAATGATGACGTTGTTTTACACTTTTTTAGTATATAATTTTGGAACGAGAGCATTTTTCATTGTCATAGCCTCCTAGGCCCTAGGACCAAAATGTACATAACAACCATGTTAACTAATAGTTCTGCCTTTTGACAATATGTCCTTAGTCTGAATTCTATATCATTTTAGACAGGTGATATTTATCAATTTGTTTTCTACACTCTGCACTTTCTTCTGTAGTGTATGCATGCTAGAATTTCGATCTTTTCGTTTTGTAAACCTGGAGACCTATGCTGCTTTCTTTACAATTATGGAAAACATGGTTTCTTTTCCTGATAAAATATGCTTATTCATTCCCCCGTCCATTTCTCTCTTTCTGATTGTGTTGATTAAATTTTCCTTGATCATAAAAAAAATACTGTTATAAATCATGATAAAAGATTATCATGGACTTTTGGGCAATTGTATACATCGGCAGAGTTTTCTAAATGAAACAAGTAGCAGAGTTATGGTCTATTGATACTTGATAGTATGTTTTAATTTAATAGGAATTAATCCAAATAAGCTATGGTATTTGTAAAGGTTGCATGAAGTCAGCTATGGTTTGTGACTTAAAGGTGGGTTTATTATGTGGCAATCCTGGTCATAGTTTCATTCTCATGAAATTTGTAATAATTGTTAATGTGAAAGTTTTTTTCTAACGTGAAAATCCTTGTGATATGGGATTACAGTTAGATCTTATGGAACAGAGGGGAGAAGAAAAGATGGTCCACAAGTTCCTCCAAGTGATAAGATTTATGAATATATTCTCTTCCGAAGCAATGACATTAAGGTAATTTAATATTATTATTTGACTGATTAACAATCTATTACTATTCAGAGAAATAAGCATATGGTGGAATATTTCTGATTGTTGCAGTGAAATATCTCATCCATCTAATGGAATAAGGATTGGTTGATGTTGTTGTATTGCTGTTATATATGGTTGGTCTTGGGGTCCTAAAATATCATTATAATCTCTGAATGATTTGTGATTGGGGTTTTTAATGTTTTTCCTTGTCTTATTTATTCATCAGCTAGGTTTTATTGATCATTTTCTTTTACACAATAGAAGACCTTTCAGTTGATGGGCATTGTTTTCATTTGCAATATTGCTCAAACTCAAAGTTCTTGGTGTGGTTTAGTTGATAGATTTTGAGGCCCTTCTATTTATGTGATCTTTCTTTTTATCTCTACAAATTCTCCACTTTATTGTCTTTTTGGTCAGTGATGACTGATGTGCCATATAATCTTCACCATCAAGTTTGTTTTGGTTTTCCTCTCATTTGTTCTCATTAAGTGTTCACTTGCCTGGTTTAAAAACTAATGGCTTACCTGGCATCTTTTTTATTCATTAGTTGTGTGTGGGGGGGGGGGGGCTGATAGCTAATCAAAAGTTTGTTGGAGAAATTATAATGAAATTTTACCAATGAATACTGGTGGACCGAAGGCTTGTGAGTTGATTGATTAAATTCAACCACAGTCGATGAAGCTCAAGTTCATGAAAGTTTTGAACAACTAAGAGTAAAAACCAAATGGACTGCACTGAATGAAAGTTGGAACTGGAATTTGAAGTTGCTGACTTATTTTGCCTCTAAAGAGTGTAATCTAAGGTGGATATGCATGTGTCAATCCCCCATCAATAGCTGTGGTGCAGCCATTTGATGATGAGAACTTGTGCTGTATGCGTGCCAAAAAATCTAAGATGTGCATGTTCTCATGAATTTTACAATTTCAGAATTTGCAGATCAAGTCCCCCTCCACCCCTGGCAAATCAGAAGACCAGTTTTTTAGTGATCCAGCTATTATTCAGGTACCAGTGTTTAAGGACAGGACAAAGAAAACTTGTATTTTTGAAATTTGAACACATCAACTCATCAATGAATTTTTTATTTCTTTTGAATCATTTGTCTTTTTTCCTTCCCAGTCGCAATATTCTGGTTTGCTAAGCTCTCCAGTGGCCCCTGTTGGTGGTAGAATTTTGACAGAATCCATTCAAAGGCAAGATAACCCTGCAATATCCAGTACAGCCTTTCCTGTTGGATTGTCTTCTCATCAGTCAGTACCTCAACTGGGCCCTTCAAATCAATCTGCTGCTATCGAAGTTGCTAGTCATCCATCTTTTTCTTCAGCAATGTATTGGCAAAGGCACGGCGGGAAATCAAATGATAGTTCTCATTCTCTGCTCCCATCTAGTTCTCTTCAACCCCCATCCATGGCAGCATCCTTAGCTATGCAGAGCCAGACACAAACTGCAGAAACCCAGGTTCCTACAAGAAGGGGATGGACATCTTTATCAGAGTGTGGTCAACCTGTATCTTCGCCTATGGCTAAGACTCTTGTAAATCCGACTCCTTTACCTTCTACCAATTTACAAATTCCTAACTCTTTTGATATTCCACCCCTTTTGTCTACTAAGACACCTATGCCATATTCTGGATCCATGACTTTTGATGGATCAAACATGCCTCAGTTTTCTTCATCTCTCCAGGACATAAATTTTACTGAAGGTCAAATATCTGGAAAAATTTGTCCTGACCCAAGGCCAATTCATCCTCAACATGCTGTCCATCATTCTGCTTCTGCATTTGTAGATTCTACTTCTGGTCCCTTGCCCACACCTCCATCTTTGTTAACTCCAGATCAATTTGTACATCCTAGAGAACAGTTATTTTCTTCAACACATAATTTGAACCCTAATCAGAAGGATATGTGTTCTCTGTCTCTAACCCCCTCTGGTTCCTCTGCATTAATTCCTTCTCCAGCATCTCAAGCACCACTACTTCCACTACCAAATTTGCTGCAAAAGGTTAGAATATTTACTCATGATCTTTAAGGGATGGTACAGGTGGGGTAGGGTGAGGCAGGATACTTTTGTAAGGTTTTGAATTGTTTGTTAATACTGACTGCCACTGGAGTATAAAGAATAGTTTATATTTTATCATGACAGCTCAACCTTGTATGCTTTTCTGTTCATATGTAATTTTAATGTTGTTTGGATTGAATTGAATCTTACAGGATGCGGATAGGAGCTGTAATAGATAAGAATAATGTTACCATTAAACCTGCAATCCAGCATGTACGAGGGATAGGGAAACAATGGATATTTTACGAAGAGATTGTTAAAATTTCATTTCTTAATCAAATGCCAAATTAACAGAATAACATAGCTTTGCCTACTGAATTGTGCTTGTAAAATTTTTTGAAATTTTATCATTGTTCACTGGTCATAAGTTAACAAGGAATTTGCTCAAAAACACCAATTGCAGTTGTGACAACTGACAAGTAAAGTGTTAAAATATAAGGAATCTACTTGATTTGTCAATACTGCTTCCTAGAATGTATAAAGGGATATCTCTTGTTTCCCAAAGCCCATCTGGAAGCTTCATTTTCCCCCAAATTAGGCATAAAATTAAGTGCTTTAGTTAATTTTTTCTTGGTTGCATGTATCTTACTCTGTTGTTGGGCTTTTGCATATGCTAATTACTTAACAAGACAAAAAATACAGCTTTGGTATTGACTACTATACATTTCACCATTTTTGGACATACATTTGTTTTATGTTTTACCATAGAGTTATGAAGTTGATGTTATTTTACCAATTTAAATAAATTTCATTAGTTGGATAACTAAAAAAGGAAGGCTCCATGCTTGAGGCTCCCACCATTGTGGTGTCTAAGCCTCAGGGTGGTCAAACAAATCTAATAGCCTCTTACCTTGTGAGCAGAGAGGCTGATTCCACAACTATAAACATGTGACCACGAGCCAGCAAACTGTTGCAGATAGCTAATATATTTAATATTACAGGATAAATATTTAAATTTAGTATAGTTATATATAATTAATTATATAATAAGGACGGGCCTTGGTGCAATAGTAAGATTGTTGGCTTGTGATTAGGAGGTCCTGGTTTCAAATTCTAGATACAGTCTCTCTGGTTGGGGGGATAAAATTGTGTAGCTAGCTATACCTCCCCAAACTCCATAAGCCTCGTGCATTGGGTTGCCCTCATTTTTTCTAGCATATCTATTTATTTATGCATATGTAAATATTCTAGAATTGGTGTGTTGATTTTTGCAGCCTCAATACCCAGCTTCACAGTTCACTGAAGAATTCAATTTTGAAGCCATGAATGAAAAATTCAAAAAGGATGAAGTATGGGGTTCTCTTGGAAAGGAAACTACAAAGATAGAGGGAGTGGAGGATAATACTTCTTTCAATGTTGGTGACAAAGAATGTCATGGAATGATGCCAGACCCTAAGGTAAGACTCAGAATGTTTCCATTTGATAAGAAATTCCTTTTTTTACTTGAAAGGTTGAGAGTAAAGACACAAGTTGCTGAGCATGTGGTTTTGGCACTGCATAGCAAATTTTGTTTGAACTTGAAAGAAAACTTAAGTTCTTACTTTTATTTGCAGTATGCATACAAGAAAGATGACTTTTTTGACACAATTTCTTGTAACTCTATGACTCGTGGATTGAGGAATGGACAAAATCGTTTATCTGAGAGAATGAAACTGGATACTGAGGTCTGCAAACACACTAAGAACTGAAATTGTTCTTAACTTACAATGGAATATTGATATTTATCTGTTTCTGTTTCTGTTTCTATTTCAGACATTTGGCAATTTCCAACAGAGACCTAATGTTGGTTATGGTGCTGGACGGGGTGGGAATTTCAGGGGCTCATATAATTGGGGAAGGGGTTATGGCTATCGTGGAAGAGGGCGTGGTCCAAATTTTCGATACTAGTGGTATTCAAATTGTGTCAACCAAAGCTCTCCGCAAATTTTGCCTATGTTTACCATGTGATCTTTGGCTTTTTTTCAATGACGTTAACATGTTTTTGAAACTTTCATGTATGGATGCTGAAACGTCAAACTTACAAATGCCCGCCATGTTCATTTTTTTTTGGTCTCATGAGCTGGGGTTTGACGTTTACTTCCAAGTAATTACTGTTCATAATTGTGTATGGCAATCAGTAGCCAGAGGAACCCTTACTAAATGATCGGTTTTCTCTACTCCCGTCATTAAAAAAGATGTAATCTTTTGAGACGTACATAGCCGTTGGTCGGCACTCACAAGCGACCTTGGTGACATGATTCGTACTATATGAATTTGTGCTGATGATTACGTTTATCTGAACTTCTATTCCTTTTATTTATTTTCTAGCATTTTGGAGCAGCACCATATACGTATGTTCCTCTTTTTCAATATCATTAGTAATTCTTTTGAGATGCGGTGTCATGGATTGTATTTATGGTAAGGCTATTTTAATAGCTAATTTACATCCCTCAATCACCTCCATTTGTGTTGGTGTTGATGGTGAAAAAGGAAGGGGACCAATGGAGGTGATTGGGGAAAATGATTTGTGACTTGTGAGATGTGTGGAAATGGGAATTTGAAATGAATATTGCCCTTCAATTTATTGGTATTATTTTGTCCGATCTAGGTTTACTTTGTAAGCGTCGAAGGTCAGGTTTCCTTGATACAACGCGTCAGCTTTAAGTACTAGATATTCTATTCGTTTTTTTTTTTTTAATGAAAAAGGGCAACAGAGTGAATGTAAGGCATGGAAACAGTGTAGACTTATCGTAATGGGATATTGGGGCCTCATATGACGATCCGCAGTCTGTCTCGGACTTGTCACGTTTTGTTGCACCTGATTTGAGTGTGTTAAAATTGTTGTATAGCAGCTGGCTGGAGAGTGTTAAAATTCCCTTTGTTCCAGTGTGAACTTTAAGCTAGTGGGAAGTGTGTTTTTAAGTTGGTAGTCGTTAGGTCGTGTGATCAATTGCTTTTTTCGATTAAACTCGGGTTTTTTTTGTTTATATTTTTTACAATTGTTGTGCAATAGTACCGGTTAGTAAACCCATGTGCCAGCGCACTTGAAATTGCTGTTTGTTCGTCCTTGGAAAAAAAAAGTAGCCAAAACTACTTTAAAATTGAGAATATAGTTATGAACTTATGAATCTTGAAAAAAGAAAAAGAAAAAGAAAAAGTTATGAACATATGAATATTTCTTTGAAATTATGAATATTAACTTTTTAATTCATTTAGAAAACCTTAAACATCTATTTTTACGCTATAATGGTGAATTTGTAATCTCATTATTAAGAACTGAATTTTGTTCTTGAAATGCTGTCTAGGAACAGGCATCCTGCAGGAAATAAGGAAGATCTGGCCTTGTTCCTAGAATCAGTTCTATTACGGAGGCAAAATTATCAATCGTTGCCTGGCCTGCGACTCGTAGAATTGTTTAAAATTAAATAAAACAACGCCTGCAGCTGAGCAGTTGAAAATTTTAAATACAATATAAAAATACTAGACAATTATTAATGTATGTAGGTGGGATCCAAAATGAGTTCCTATACGAGGCGGTCACTACCTCGGAGAGAATGTGTACAAATGAAGTGTCTCTTTCGTATCGTGTAAGTCGAAAAAATAAAGTTATTCCTCGGGACATTGGATAAGCAAGTTAATGAATTTTAGTTGGCTCTGGCACCTTCGCTAACTTGACAAACTCTTAGACTAGTATTCCTTTGGAAGCCTCTGGTTGGCATGAAATTGCAGGCCTTGGATCTTTTCTCCTGCAACTTCAGAGGCTTCTTTCTAGGTGCAGTTGATAGTCCTCAACCCATTAAATAGCTTATTGGTTTGCATCAAAACTCTGACTCTCTGCATCTTACTATACGGTTTCCAAGTATAAATTCTTTAATTTCAATAGTCACCCCGTTTGTGCGTGTATTTTGCGACCCTGGTCTGCTTGATTGGTCTTTATTGTTGACACAGCTGAACCAATTAACGTACCTACTGTAACTATAATCAATATGGCTGAACCAGTGTAAGTGCCCCCTTTGACAAGGTAGCACTCACCATTCAACCATCCTTCCCCATAGTGCTGCCTTCTGCTCATGCTTGTGGCTGCAATTAATAAAATAACAGCAATTCCGAAGCTAAGCCTGCCAAACATGACCGATACCAATTTTAGACTATTATTTAGTATGTTTCAAAGGCAAAAGTATAATTTCAAGATTTATTCTTGTTCTTTAAGGAAAAATGTTTCTGGGTGTTTGAAAGGACACCCCATTTCAAAAATTTTGGACAGACCAGCTGTCTCATGTTAGTCTAACCCCTCCCCTACTTTTCTAGCTATGCAGACTCCCTCATAAAGTTTTTCAACTTGCCGACTTGTGCCAATAATGGCAAGCCACTTGTAACACGATTTCATTTGTTTAATCGTCAAAACCAATAAAACCTGAAGAAAATTCGGTTTGACAACTAGATTGGATGGTGGAGTGTCCACTTTCTGAAATGTGGTTGCATGGTTCAACCTTGATTTTAGAGCAAAAGTGTCAATTCTAACAGGTAAATAATGATAATGTACGAGCCAATAATTAAGCAAGCGATCTGGTTTGTTTTCTCAATCTGTAATTGTTGAATGCGATGTACTAACAACTAACAACAGATAATGCAAAAGATTGTTAACCTACCAAGAGATCAAAAGCAGAATCCTTGCAACCACCGGTATCTTATACTGTGCGTTTCTTTTCCCTTCCGAACAATAATTCTTGAATAATATAGAATTCCCAATGATCTGGGCCAAAAAGAGACTAACTATGGATGCCATACCCAATCTAAATGCTGGACTTGATGGCAAATAACATAGTTTTCCATTCCATCTGAGATCCTCCTTCTGCAGAACCAAAATACATCATAATTCAGAGCCGGTTTGAGAAAAAACGCAAATGCTCCTAACTGCAAAGAGTAAATAAACTGAAGCGAAGAACTCACTATGCATTACCTTGTTCCTCTTAATCTCTGACACTATACACAAGGCGAAGGAAACTAAGCCAATTGAGAGGGAGACAATGATGAAGAAAATCAGCGTGAATTTGCATCTAGGAGGACTTTCCATGGTGAGGTGGTTGTTTCTTTGAAGACAGTTGAGGAGAGAGAATAGGGAATAACTCTTGGAAGCCAATCAAGAAATAGAAAGATGAGTTGGTGCCTTGAAGGTGTTGGCCATTCCTCTCTTCTTTGAGTTCTTTCCTTTCTGGTAGTTGTGACTTCCTTCCCAATATGTCTATCATTGTTTTGAAGGAGATACCATTCCTAATTGCATGTATCCTGGTATAGAGAAAAACCAGCTAAACCTTTTCCATTTGATTAGAGCAGGTCAACCGCTTGCTGCAAATGGCTTATAACAGGATAGAGATAGACACCAAGAATAAGAATCTCCCCAAATCGGTGACAAAAAATACACAAAATATTTTATATATATATATAACATACACTTATCTGTCTAGAATGGTCAATTTCTTACAATGACGATGCTAGAGACTAAGAAGGAGGTTTCCTATTTTTCTCACCTATATCTATATGAATAATTATATATAATTGCCCCCCAAAAAATAAGTGTATACAATTACTTGCCAGTTTTATAGGTAGGCTTCTCTTCTATTCTATCGGTTTATGCGGTGAAGGTTCTCTTTATGCCACTTCTCATGACAAAAGAAAAGTCTATATTCCCATGTTTCAACCCAATTGACAGATAGTAGTCTCTTATCTCTACGTGGAGTTGGGTGGGGCCACATTGACATGAATTGCAAAACTTATTAAAATCAATGTACCAAAAGAGTAACCTTTGGTAACTGTATTGGCATTGATTACCCTCTTCTGATTTGAGGTTATTTCTCTGGCGTTTCCTCAAAGATTCACTCTTTTAATGGCTCAGATTCGATTCCTGTGAAAACATGTGGGTTTGGGAGAGAAAGAATCATCAATCAACGGTGTCTTTATGGTCTCCACATCGTGAGTTCCATTTTAATTTGACTAAGATTTGTTTAATTGTTGAAACCCTATTCCCAATTCGAAGTGTGTGTGGATTCGCAGTGTTAAAAAAAAATGTGGCTTTCTTCGCTTTTGACAATTTCCCATTTAAATATTCAACAAGCCTTGCAAATGGGTGATAGAAGAATATTAATTTATGCTTTTCCCCTTCTTCTTCCCGGTTCATTTGGGTCTCGCTGTGCTTTTCTTCTTCCTGCACCTTCCTAGAAAGGAAGAAAGAAAACGAATTCAAAATGTGTTCTTGTTGGATAATGAATTTTGGGGTATCAAGTCATTAACCGGTACTACTTCTATTCTATTTGTAAGAGCCTTATCATTTTTCAATGATGGTGGCCCCTCACCAATCTCCAATCACATCACTCACCAAAAACAGATAGGAATACTTTTTCCGAGTGCTACCCTGTTAGGATTGCTTCCCTTAGTTGTTTATTGTAATTTCGAAGGTAAAAAAAAAAAAGCAGTTCCACATTGCAACTGGTTGGTAGTTAACGACCTTTTTTGTTTTTTATTTTCTTTTATTTATGCAAAAGTGCTGACATTGAAGATTATTAATTTGCATTTTAGAGAGTGTATTTAGCACTTTATAAAAAAAATTATTATGGTTTTGGGGGTTTAGCTGTTACAACATGAGAAGAATATCTTATCCTAGTGAGGTGCTGATTCATATCACTTGACAGCAACATTTGTTTGTGAATTTTGCCCTGTTTGATCTAGAGTGCTTTTAGTGATACCAGTCCCTCTTTTTGATAAGGTGTCCGTCTCATTGTGGAGGGAACTGCCACCCAAGGGACAATGAAATAGTGATAAATTACCTTGAAAGTCTCAATACATTCTAATGAAAAACACTCATTCCAATAAAAATATATAATTCAAATTAATTTATGTACGTATCTCAAATTCTCAATCATGTTTAATGACTTAAAATAAATTTTATTTTTTCAAAATCAATTCCGCTTAACTTTAAATTAAATGAGCTTAATTCAATCCAAAGGACAATTATCTAAATGCAACTTAGATATGGGCTACTAAATAGTCTAACTGGGGAGGAATATTGTCTATGCATTATACGTTAATTAAATGTTGAAGTAATATTGCTTTCTTTTGATTTAATTCCCTCAGCTACACCAAGGAGCAGTGATTCCATTATTTTGGGAAAGGAGGTGCAATTGTTAATTGTGATGTAGTTGCTTTATGATGAGAGTGGAAACTTGATTATCACGCTGCTCTAGTTTTTCTGGCTGTTTTTGTTTCAGGGTTTAGGTCTGACTGGATATGAATGAAAATTAAGTATGGATCTGAAAGACCTTTCCTGGATGTTAAGGAATGTAGGATAAATTTTGGAAAAATGAATATATATCCTGATGATGCCAGCTCCTACCCTCCTGCTAATGTCTGCAGATTGAGTAATTCTTGAATACTCCAAATATATAATCCCTCACAATCTAAATTTTACCTTTTGAGGTTATGATGACACATATTCACTTTCTGTGGCACTGGTCATATTTTTCACTGGCTCATAAATAACTCTTGAGATTTTGTAAATTTCATGCAGATTAAAGTGGCATTGTTGGGAAGGATTTGTTTTCTCTACAAATAGATGAAAATTTGTTTTCAAGTTTTTAACAAACTTTAAACAAAAGCAATAGGCCTTGTTATAAATGAATGATATGATTGATCAAGTGGTTATTAGTGTGATAAAATCCGATTCCCCCTTTGTGTGTTAAATTTTTATCTAATATGCAGGGGCCAAAAATCGATCCAGAGTGTTATCTGAGGACACCTAGGTCGTCTGGGTCACCTTTCCATTCTTGGGGAGGATGTACTAGCTGTACTCAAGGTTTCTGTTAAAGCCTTAAAAGTGTCAAACAGAATACTGCAATGGCTATGAAAAAAAACTAGAATACTGCTACTCTTTATGAGTTAATAGAGAAGCTCTTTTAAAGGACATGACACCCTCTTTAGAGGATAAATCACAATAGTAACCATTGATTTAAACTCAAACAGTTGAGATTATGATAAATTATATTCGTAACATATAAAATAAATTATGAAGTTAAAATCTCAACCGAGAATTTTCTAGTCAATGTTATTATTCCACAATTTATCCTCTAAAGTGCAGGAGCCAAATCCCTATCTTAAGATCATTGCAATTTCAGTTTTTTGGGAATAATATTTTATTTGAACAAGGTTTTCTGCCCAAGGCCATGACATGAATACTCAATACCATTGGAGCTACAAAAGCAGCAAGAGATTTTTTCCCCTCTCATTTACTTCTTTTCCTTCTAAGAGCTTCAAGAACAGATTGTGCTGTGCAATAAGCAATAGCTTGAACAGTGACCATTGGATTCACACCTAAAGCTGTGGGGAAGACACTTGAATCAGCCACATAAAGGCCCTCCATTTCCCATGTCTCCCCTGTCTGACTCACCACTGATTGCTTTGGATTAGAACCCATTCTGCAACTCCCCATCTGGTGTGCTGAGCACAATGGTGTTGAAAGGTCTGTCAATGGCCTTGAACTTTCCTCTTTAACAAATTTCTCAAATTCATGATAGCTCACCTGCTTTACATTTAAGGTCCTTCCCTTATTGTGATGGGTTCCAATTTCTTCAGCTCCTGCTGCTGCCAGAATTCTTAGTACCTTATCGATTCCCTTCTTTAAATTCTCTTCATCTACATCTTCCATCTGATAACTGATTCGGTGAGGTGAATTCACGGCCCCTGATCCTTGGTCCCTTGCCAGTGCAAATATATGAGCTGTTCTTGAAAACTTTCTCATTCGGTCTCTTATATCGGTTCCAGAAGTCCATGGTGTGACGACTGAGAACATACCAGGATGCAATGCAGGTGTTTGGATAACTGCACCATATCCAGATTGTTCAAACTCGGCAACAACTGGAGACATTGCTGTCATTAACCCTCCTTCATAGCTCTTTTTATGTGCCTGTGGCCACACCTCAGATGCTGGCGCATCTGGGAAGTATCCCCAAGCCATTGTCACTGGATGAAGATGCAAGTGTTTCCCTATGTTCTTATTCTTTAAGCCACTTCTTTTAAGCAGTACTGGAGTACGTAGTGCCCCACATGCTACAATTGTGACCTTAGACTCCACCACACAAATGTCTTTAGTTCCTTTATATTCAAACTCAAAAGCCACTCCACGTGCTATCTTTCTATCTCTTCCTTCCTTTTTCATGTGCAACACTTTTATTGCTTCACAACCTGGAAGAATTGCTCCATTCCCAGATTTCACCAAGTCCACCAACCATGTTTCTGAGGTACCCTTCTTCCTCCCATCCTTACAACCCATACAACACCAACCACAATAGTGATCTGGTGGAGAATTCCTTGGAATATTACTCACAGGATACCCCATTTCTTGACACCCTTTTCTAAGGATTGCATTGTTGAATCCTTCATCTTCAATCTCAGATTGAACTCCCATCTTGTCACACACAGCATCCATAGCTTCTCTATACAACTCACTTTCAAATAGCTCTAGCCCTTGCTTATTACTCCACTCCTTGCACACATGCTGAGGGGTCTTAATGCATGCAGACCAGTTGATTGCAGATCCTCCACCAACAGTGGATCCTGACAGTATGAACACACCCATATCATCAGTTGCAACCAGACCCCCAGATAGGTACATTTGATCCATGGTGGGTCCTTCAAGAAGGGAAAGGTTGTTCCTAGCAGAATATCCTCCTTTCTCCAAGACCAACACTTTGTAACCAGCTTTTGCCAAAACACCAGCTACCAAACCACCTCCTGAGCCGGAACCAACAACCACTGCATCACATTGTATAACTAAAGAAGGAGATGACAAGTTAGCAGCAACTTTAGGCTTTCTACGAATGACTGAGACAGGGAATCCAAATCTTCTAAGAGCATCTGCAGTGATGTCTCGTGGGTAGTTCAAATGGACTAGACCTTCGTAAAGGGGTCCTATGACTTCCTCAGTATCATCCTCTTCCTTATCCTCTTGTCCTCCTTTTGATGTTCCGTGCAAAAAGTGGTTCTTTAGCTGTGCTTTGAATTCTGGATCAGGTCCACAGTATCCAATTGCTTTCCATGAAACATTCTCTTCTGATTCATCTATCTGAAAGTAAGTGTCTGTCATGGTGAGTACAGGTTCGAAGCAACCACAAAATCATGTACATTTAATGTGTCCCGTTTGTGCTCTTCTAAATAAGCAGCTATGGGGGTTAATAATGAGATTTTAGGCTCGATGTCAACCTGGATCAGACTAATCATTGGGCTGGGACTAGATCAACACAATATTAGAATAAATTTACAAATTTAGATATTATATACATAATTAAGTCATAAAACTAGAACAAATTGAAACTAAGGAATGTTTTACGATATAAATTTTGAAGTAAAATATACTGATACAAAGGTGACTATTGTATCCATGTCTTTTTGTTTTTGTTTTTTGTCAACATACTGTATCCATGTCTACAGTCCTAGGATTCTCTGTTATTTTAGTCCAAAGAGCAAAGCATCAAACAGAAGGGCCCAACAACAAAGGCCTAAAGAAAGCCAGAGTTTTTGTGCTATTTTGGTCCATAAAAGAAAGGCTTTTGAAATGGATTTAATTTCCATAAGGAATGATTTGGGCCAACAGCCCAAAAGAATGGTTTATTTTGGCAAAAACCCTTTGACCAGAATAGGAAAAACAAAAAACCATTACCAAAGCCTCTTTTTATTTTTTCCTTCGGTCAAAACCAAAGCCTACTTTATAACCGGCAAATATATGCGTCATGCGTGTATGTGTTTGGGCTTACAGGAGCGCAAGGATTCTCTTCCGCGGTAACTTGTTTTTTCGCAGATACTTTTGTTTTTAACTACACCACTTTTTTTTTTTAAATAAAATTTTAGAATTATTAATTATTTATGAATTTCTGAAATTTGATTTCTGGAAGGATGGTACAAAAAGAACCACCTTCTCTTCCTTTCAGTAAATAGTTGATGGTGGTTATCGGCTTTGAGGGGATGATCATTGTATCATGGGCTGAAAGTGTGCCTTTTGCTTTCTGAGCTACTAAACAACCTTGACAAAAAAAAAAGACCCCTTAACAACAAATTGGTATACAAATTTATGGGCGTACTGTGGAAACGAATTCCTTTTTGAACATAAACAGCTAAGCCCAACCTCACAAGAAAACCAGGAAGCATATTAAATAAGAGATATGGGAGGCCCAAGCTAACCATAGGAGAAGGTAGGCAATTTTGTTAATGGAATTGCTTAAAAAAATGAAAGCCCTTCTTATCAGAAACACTAGTTCCAATTCTTAATCCCCTCTTCAATGGCAATATTATATATATATATAAACTTCTTAAGTACTGTGCAATTTGTCCATAAATTTGTGTGGCTGACTTTTGTAAAATTGCGTTGTTTTCTCAATTATTTGGCACAAAAAGATGTAAACTAAAAAGGCAAATGCTAACCAATATCACAAAGGAATTGGTTAAAAAAATTTAAAATATAAGATTTTTTTATTGAAATGTATAATGCTGCACTTCTCACATGATTTATTATTATTGTTTAATCGATATGTTAAGAAAACTGGTTAATAAAACAATGAAAAATCTTATGTATAATATGGTTTTTTGGGGGACAGTTTCTGTTCTAACTTGAGTGATGCTAGTTACAGTATTGTTGTAAAGACCAGGGTATAACAAGGAACGTACGTGGGTCTGTATGATTTTAAATGAGGAAAGAATTAGGTAGAAACTTAAACCAACCACATGAAAGGGATCCCAACTTCCCGATGTTTAATTGTGTACACTATCCAGTTAGAAGCTTAATGATGGTGGGAGTGGCAGTCTCTTTTTCTTTTTTAAAAGTTTGTTCAAAGACATATGGTAAAAAATTATGTATATTAAACTTTTATTTAAAATCACATGACATTATTAAATTTAATATATTGATAATATTAAATATTAAAAAAATATTATTTTTAAGTAGGATGGAGAGAGTCCCCTACCCATGTAGGGTAAAATGGGAGTGAATAAATGTAGTTGGGATGTGGATGTGGTAGTACCGTGATCTTAGCCACCAGAGTGAAAACTGTGGATCCAAATCTTAGTTTAATTTCGTACCACTTTTTATGTGGGACACAATGCTCTTTAACTATTGTTAATGTAACATCCCCAGTTCTATCCTTTCCGTACATGGTCCACTTTTTCAGTGACTTCCAAAGATGATCCTAGTTGCCTGGTTCTTCTTACCTTATTATGAACCGACACTCAACCACACACAAACACAATCACATAAATATGCTGATCCAAAAAAGAAGAAATTAAAAACAATCACATAAATACAACCTGTTGCTGCGTCTTTTCCCCTCTCCTGAGTTTTATATAAATATTTATATTTCCATATTTATTCAAACATGATTATGATATCAAAATTACTTGAATATAGTAATTTGAGACAGCAGAAAAACTCACTCTATCATTTGTTTAATGGTACAAGAAAAATTGACCGACACAAATTTTCTTTAATCAAATTCTGATAACAAAACTTCATGATTCTCACTTAATTAACCCAAACATAACCAAAGTCGTGAGACACGCTAAGTGGTTTGTTAATTTACTTTCATAGGATTGTTTATTTATCTACACACGCACGTGGATTCGTTTAATATGTGTGCGTGTTCCTTGACGCAGCTAGGAATCAGTTTTTAAGAAAATGCATGCAAAAGTAAAAATTACAAATTTCAGTATTAAAAAATATTTAATAAAAAACACTTTTTCGTTTTAAAAATATAAGTGAACTAGAGTGTCATAATTAAAAATAAGGAGTTCAGTTATTATTTGGAACAAAATCTCTTTTACTATCATTCTATAATAAAATCAAATATCTATATATATATATATATATATATATATATCTGTGTAAAACTCCATTAACTTTAGTTGGATTGGTCGTCTAGTAGGGTAGCATTGGCTTTAAAGAAGGGATACGTGAGCCTGGGTAGATGAAGTTAAGTATAGCCCGTGATTTGGTAGAAAATCTGTCACGTGCGATTGGTTCCCCAGAATAAGAGTACCCTTGATGTTAACACAAAACGCTCATAGCAAATGGATCAGTAGATAGATAGGATCGTCATCCCCACCAACCTTTCTCCAACTACATGCAATCGATAATCGCTTTCAAGTTTCAACCATTCTAACTTTTAACTGGCATTATGACAAACTGTTTCAATAGCTTCTGCTTTTAATGTACGGCACAAAGTCAACCAGAAATATTAATATTTGTTTTCATGCAATTCTAAAAGGGAAAAGTTTAAATAAATTTCTTTAATCGTTTGTTATATATATTACTCTAAATAAAATCATGAGAAATATAATATTTATTCATCTCAATAGTAAAAATTTTATAAATGCTATGCTTTTGTTAATTAAGAAATAAAACCACAAAACCTTTTTGAAATTTTATCTTTTCCGAAAATATCTCCAAGGAAAATGTTGGCCAGAAAAGAAAAGGTGGGAAAAGTAAGCACCGGAGATAATTATAAAGGTTGGTGAAATATCAATACCCACAGATTTTTGGAAAAACTGGTGCCACCAAATTAAGTAGACCCTTGTAAAAAGGCCCAGACGTACGTGTATACTTCTACCATCTTAGGAGTTACAATATATAAATTATTGTCTTAAATATTATATTATTTATTATGCATGCTTAATTTATATATATGTGTGTGTTCTAAGAGAGAGAGAGAGAGAGAGAAAACTCTGAAGCTTTCATTTATTCCTTTAAAATGAGATAAATACAATTTTTTTATAAATATTTTCTGAGCTTAAAGGCTATTTTAGACTGGGAGAGTATTTCTTGGCTCTATAAGTTTTAATAAAAAAAGGGTATAAGATGACATAGCGATAAACAACTATCTTTGTTTGAGGAACCATGCATGATTTTGAACAAATATATTGAGCTTTATAGAAGTATATTAAAGCCCATAAAGATACACTAGGCGTCGCCCATTTATATACTAACCAAAATGAATAAAAAATATATATTTGGAGATACCTTTAGAATAGTTAGCTAGCAAGTTAATATTAGAAAAGTGGCAAATGAGAAAGAAGCAACTGAAAGCACTTACATTTAAACGAAAAAAGTAAAGGAAAAAAAATAGCAGCAGGAGACATTAAATGCTTTGTATGTGTTAATTTATGCATGGTGTGCTCCAGGTTGGTAGAGTTTGAAATATGAGCATATATTAAATATTAAGTACCTGAGTGAAGAAGATTAAGAGAGTGAGAAGTTTGATGGTCCTGAACAACATCTTGAAGTGACGAAGGTAACTTAGAGACCATGATTGCATAATCTGTTGGCGTTTCTGAAAAGACAATTCAGGATAGCTGTGGATGAAGGGGAATTGGGTTGAAAGACACGCCATGCCACAGAAAATGATTGTCCCAAACCATGTAGACAATAGCCATAACACCAACTTCAATAACTCTGTCATTGGGTGCTTCAATTGCTCACATATCACACCACCAAGCTGCACATGACAAATCAACCAAAACATATCTATTTATTAATATATTCGCGTTTGCACAATAATTAAAAGCAACATAGCAATGGAAAATAAATACATGAATTTTAATTCAACAAAGTAATTTTCAATACCTAAAAATTATATTCTTCCCTCTAGCATGCCATTTATTTTTAAGAAACTTTATAAATAAATATTTTACAGTAGCATATAATAAAATATCATGAAATAAATTCTACTCTTCCATACTGCTGCAATTGTGATGATTAATCACGCGAGAAAATTGTATCCATCATCGTTTTGACACAAGAAGTACATATGCAGGTACATATGCAGCCCTTATAATTGCAGATGGCAAATTATTATTAACATAAAAAAAGTGACTTAGTGAGAAAGTAAACGTTCGTTATCAGTGAATTTTACATTAAGCGAATAATAATAATAATAAATCATATGCATGAAAAATGAAAAAAATACATATTATATATACGTGTGTTGTTAAAATTATAACTAAACAACTAAAAATAATATCGATTATCCATGTATGAGATTAAAACTAACTATGTTTACTTTTTACATGTTCTTTGTGTATATAATGAAATAAAAATAATGAAGAAAAACAGGAGTTCAGGATATATTATAAAGAAATTCGAAGGGAGAAAAATAAAAAAATAGGAAAAATAGAGAGATGGTAGCTAGCAAGGAAGCTAGCGTACACGTTGAGGTGTTCCAGCGAGGGAAGCTGAAATTCGGTAGAAGTTGGCGACAGATTCATCGGAGGTATGAACAAAGTGGTCGAGTGAGGGTAAAATGGTGTCACAGAGAGCAGAGAGGGATTTCATTTGTCTGGGAGAGAGAGTGTTTGTAAGAGGTCGCTGTTTTTCTCTCTCTCCACCAGCACCAGCTAGGAGAAGTCTATGTGTGTCAATGCTACCAAGCTCAATCACTGTGTGATCTTTTGCTCCATTCAATCCCAAACCCAACCTAAAGCTACCCTTTCTAGAGCTTCCATTTCTCATCATTTGGTTTCCCACACTGTCCTCCATAGTTTCTTTTTGTTTCCAAATATCAAAGCAAGACTGCTTCCAAACGTTTCGTGTTGGAGTTTATATAATACCCGTTTCAGGGATAACCCTTCCCACTTGTTTTTCTTTTTTCCTAAGGAAAATAAAGAACAAAAGGGGATAATTAATTCACCACTTCATTTCCGTGGAGTAGCAAAATAGACAATTCTAAAGGTACGTTTCATAATTTGCTAAAAACAAGGATAGGTTTATATAAAATGACTTGTATCGTATTTAATTTTAAAAATAATCATTAACCGGGTTAAAATATAATTAGAATAACTTTTACTTCAATAGAATTTTTTAATGATATATATCTCTTATAGAAAGAAACTTTGTTTTAACTCAGAAGAATTGTTATAAGTGATAATTTTTTTACTATGCAATTAATGCAACTGCATATATATGGATTTGGGTTTAAAATGATTAATTAAGCTAAATTAACTTCATCCGTCCGTATGCTTGATAGTTAATCTTTTCTTCTTCTTCTTCTTGATATTTTATTTAAATAAAAAAGAAATAAGAGAAAAAATATATTATTTGAATAGATAAAAATCAAAAATTTTAAAAACCTTTCTATTTAATTGAATGAATAAAAAATAAAATACTATTTTATCTAAATGGAGAAAATGATTTAAAAAATTGGAAAAAGTAATAATGATAAAAGAGTAAATTTACGATGATCTCACTGTCAAAATCACACCCTGAGCAGCAAAGTAATACACGTGTCTTTCTCCCTTAAATCACTTTTAAGCATTTCTTTCCACTTTTTTTTCAAGCCAACTGCCAGTGAGATTTTTTCCCCCATCCTTCCTTTCCCTCTCTTTCTCTAAATTGCTACAAGCTTGTAGCATGGATTGATTACCAAATCTAGAAAATAAAAACGATGATTATGTTTTAAATTTTTATAAATATTACAATCTTTTAGTTAGTACTGTGTCATTTTTAAAAATTTATAATTTAACCTTCATAAAAAAATTTCTTTTTCTTATACTCCTTTTGTTAGTATTCTATTTATTTTGTTCATTAACTATTTAAGTAATTAAAGATTAAATAAAACTCATGATAGTTTAGAAGAATTAAATGAAAATTTTATGATATTTAAAGGATTTCAATAAAAAAATTGGTAAAAAAATTTGAGATTCTAGAGAGACAAAATAGGTAATAAAAAAAATCATATTTAGGGCAAATTGACATTAAAAAAAAAAGAAAGAAAGAAAGTACTAATAAAAATACAATATAAGAAAAATTTTGTTTTTTTTAACGAAAACTACTTATGAATGGCCAAATAAAAAACTTGTACTATTTTAAAAAAATATAAGTTAAAAACAAAAGATTTTTGTCGAGAGGTGAATAGAAATATTTATAATTTTGTTTGTTAGTCTAGGATTACAAATTTCAAAATCAATACTATATTATGAAAAAATATATATATCTATCACATAAATCAATCACACTTGAGTTATACCACATATAATTTGTGTTATCTTTAACATGTTTTAGATAAAATTTCCAAGTAGTTTTACTAATTACTAATTAAGAATAGGTACATATTTATAGTTTTAATATATTTTTTTAATGTTTTTAATTAACAAGTACCTACAACTTCAATCTTGCAATTGTTTTTTAGTTTTACAACTATATACATTGCGCCCATTTTCTCAAAATGAACAATTTTACAGTGCTAACATGTGTCCAAGATTCATTTTAAAGGGAGTTGCTTAAGTTTATTGTTAAGTAACTATATCTCTACCTATTCCACAGCTAGAGATGATTTATCAGGAATTAAAATCTAAGCAAGAATTTCTTAAAAAAGTAACAATTGCTTGTTAAGAAAAATCACACTACATAAACAAAGAACCAATTAAGATAAGTTGCGAGACTAAATTGTTGGGCACTTGTTAAAATATTAAAAAAAAAAGTATTGTTAAGTAATATTTTAAAAAACATTCATTAAAAATTAAGTAATGAAAAAATATTAAAAAGCACTTTAATAAAAAGTATTTTTAATTTCTTAATTAAAGTTTTAAGAGTACTGCTGTTAACATTTTAAAGAATAAAACTGTATGTTGTAAACATTTAGAGAAACATAAGTTGGTGAGCTTTTATTTTCAATTATTAATATATATTGAAAAATATTATTTAAAGATGGGAGAGAAAGGAACCCGTGGTGATGACGATACCGAAACAAATTCATGATAAAAGAAAAAAAGATGGAAAATACAAAAGAAATAAGGATTTGAAATAAATGCAACGAATAACGGTACGTATTTACTCTCTCATCTGCCACCATTTAATTTGGGCAATTCGATTTTGATTCGACGTTTCTAAAATAATGATAATAGTAATAATAATAATATTGCCAAATTGCTGTGTGAATCACTTGACGAATATGGAGCTGGCCCAAGGCCAACTTTATAAATGGTTATATAATAATTGAATTAGTTGATTTATAACATTTTATATTATACCATACACTGCAAATTGGAGGTCCATTATAAATTATACCCCAGCTGATATACTTAATACATCAATCTTTTTCATGATTATCACTTACTTATGCTCGCATTCATGATCCAACCATTAACCAAATTGCGTGGAGGCTTCAAATATCAATTATTCGATTCTATTTAACTTTTCCAATTTTTTCTTTGCATTATACTCTTTCTCTCTCTGGACCTTATAAAATCTGACAATAATAGTTACGAATCGAAGTTCATTCATCTCGTAAGAATTAACAAACAATTATTAAGTGTTATGTTAAGTAATTGTTAAAACTAATGACAGATGCTTGCAATGGATTAAGTTTACATAAAGTACAATGAAATCAATGCCGTCAGAAATTTACAGCATATTCATTTGCTAGAAATTAAAATCGTGGAAAAACTGGTGTTTAGAAATTGACCAGCGCAAATATGATTTTGACTGCAATTGCTAGAAATTATGAACGTGGTTTTCAGGATTATATGATGATTTGATCTTAATTGCTTTAAATAATAACGTGCTTTTCTGGATTTAACTTGCCATTATTATACGATTTGGCGGCAATGGCCTAACATTTAGACTCTCTCTCTCTCTGTAGTTGCTTCTTGGTCTCGATTGCTCCCATCTCTTTCAGGAACCACTCAAACCATCTAAATTTAATTATAATTGATCAGTGATTATGCCTGCTAATTAAGCTTAGAATGTGAACCCTTACATATATTCATATATGATATGATGGGTTTTAAATGCTAACGACGCTTTTGCATGACAACTTAGCTTTATGGATTGATTGTTTCCTTGTCAATTGATTGCCTTAAAGATATGTAAATTGATTAATCAAGGGTGATTTAAGTTTCTCTATGTATTTATTATTAGTATTTAGTCAAAAAGACAGAAATCTCGCCTTCAAATAGTTATCACATTTAAGATAATTTTGATAAATAATAGAAAACAACCTACTAAAGCGTATGTAAGGCAAAAAAACTTTTGGAAAAAAAATTAACCGGAGGGGATACTTTGAGGAGGAGTAGAGAAGTGTAATAAGATATTTGGGGTGAGATGGGGAAAAATGTACAAAAAGAAATGAAGGTTTAGTAAATAAAAGAATTAAATTAGAAAAGTTTTGAATTTATGTTTGTTGAAAAGGTGGAAATAGGATGTTATAAGAAATGAACTTTGGTGCAGTGTTAAAAGCTTATAAATAAGAATTGTGCTAAAAGCTAAATATAAGAAATAAAGAGATGGTAAAATATATTCAACCTTGAAATATTATTTTGTTAACAAGTTTTTTGTATTATGAGTTGTGATAGAATAAGGAGAAATTTTGTACAAAAGAATTTATATATTTATCCTTTATTTGGTTCTACGGAAAGGAAATAAATGAAAAAAAAAATTAAATTAAAAAAAAACAACACCTTAGAAATTCAAAGCTTAAAGATGACACTTAAGAAACTAATACATAAATATAACAAAGAGTTAGAACTTAAAAGTGATTCTCGACTTTGCAAGCTTGGAAATGTTGGCGTGAGTTGTGGAAATTGATTTCTACGATATATTAGTAGAAAGTTTTAAAATATGTTTTTAATTATAATAATTATCTAATTATAATAATTGTCTTAATTTGTATATAGCCAGAAATAGTTATGTTTTTTGCATGTATATATTTCCCTGTATCTCACATAAAGATTATTAAGGAAATTTGATTATTACTATGTCAGTTTGACATAGTATTAGAGCTTACAATCCATACTCCTATTTCTTAAATCAATTGTTTCCTCTCTATGGTTGATACAAACTTCCTACTCCTACCTCCATTGATACAGAATCTCCTACTCTTACCCCTAACTGAGTTAGCTATAAAAATGTCAGAAGTTTTGAACCAAGTTTCAATCCCGCCTTAGATCAATACTGATCATTCTTTTGCACCGATTGACATCAAACTAGATGGCAGTAACTATGCTCTTTGGTCCCAGATGATCAAGATGTTCGGACAAAGACAAATTGAGATATATCAATGGCGATTTACCACAACCCTTTCAAGTAGACCCTAACTTTTGACGTTGGCAGACTGACAACACGATTGTTAAAGGATGGCTCATTAACTCCATGAATTTTTCTCTTATTGGCAATTTTATTCGATTTCCCACAGCCAAGATGGTGTGGGATGCAATCATAACCACATATTTTGATATAGTGACACGTCTCAAGTTTATGACCTTCGACGGTCGTGACCCTCTTGAAAAATACTACAATGATCTTCAAGGACTTTGGTGTGAAATTGATTTTCACAGTCCAAATTGAATGGAATGCCCTATTGTCATTCAACACTATAATGATCTTGTCTAAGAAGATCGGGTCTACGTATTTTTGGATGGACTTGAAGATCGTTTGGATAATATCATGAGTGATATCTTGTAGATGAAGTCATTCCCAGCAGTGGAGCAAGCTTATGCATATGTTTAGAGGGAAGCCCTTCGTCAAGTAATGATGATAGATAACCCCAACGAAATAACTGGGGCTATTCTCA